GAAAGGAGGAGTGTGCTGTCACAGCATAGGAAGAGAAACTGGGGTCACATAACAATGTATGTATAAATTTTTGTATGAGAGACTAACTTGAATTGTAAACTTTCACTTAAAATACAATAAAAAAATGAATATAAAAAAAAAGAAAGGTGATATTTACAGCCATGAGACTGGATATACAAGGCAGATGAAATAAAAAGAAAAAGCAAGGCGTAAGGTATGGCCTAAGCTTTCCAGAATGTCTGAATTTATCAGACAACAAAAAGCAGAACTACTGAAGGAAAGAAATAAGGAATAGATTGAGAAGGAAGAGCAAATATTTTACAGCCATGAACGCCAAAGGAGAAAATCTGAGAATAAGTATTCAACAATAAAAGTTGAGGCCTGAGGAAAAGTCACTGTATTTGGCTAGACGGGCATCACTGGTATCCTACAGAGGGAAGTTTTTGTCCAGTCCTGGGGTCACAGGGCAGCTGTGAAAGGTTGAGGGAACTGGTGATAAGGAAAGGAAAGTGACCATGAAACCAGAGGAGCACTTAGAGAGGAGCAGCAGGGTCAGGGGAAGGGTTTTTCAGGAGAAGGGAAACGTGGAGATTTGAAGTCAGAGGAAAGAAGCCAGTAAGAGAGGCTGGTGGTGGTGATGTCATTACCTCTCCTCTCTGCCACCACACAGATCAAACCCAAACTCTGCTTCAAGCATCTCCTCCCACTCCTTCTTACCAGTCTCCCTTCTCTAGGTAAAACAAGTAGCTTCCTGAATCCTGCCTCCTTGTCTCCCCACCTGTCCTCCTCTGCCTCCTTGTCTCCCCATCTGTCCTCCTCTGCCCTCTTTGCCTTCCCACCTGCCCTCCCCTGCCTCCTTGTTCCCACCTGTCCTCCCCTGACTCCTTGCTTTCCCACCTGCCCTCCCCTGCCCCCTTGCCTTCCCACCTGCCCTCCCCTGCCCCCTTGCCTTCCCACCTGCCCTCCCCTGCCCCCTTGTCTTTTCACCTGCCCTCCCCTGCCTCCTTGTTCCCACCTGTCCTCCCCTGCCTCCATCTACCCTGGAGTCTCCTCTTCACTCCTTTTTGCCAACTCACATCCCTACCCTCCTTCATTATTTAGTTTCTTTAGGAAGCCTTCCCACAAAATTCCATCTCACTGTACTGATTTGTATTTGTCTTTGATAAGGTACATATAGTGGGACTTTTCCATAACTATTGTTCCCTAACTACTCTCATTTATCCCAGATAACAAAGCTTATGATACCAGTTTATTTATTCAGTATCATTTTCTGCTGTAAGTAACTATCAGAAGGTCAAGTGGTATTTCTCTATGTATCCTACATTTATCCAAATTGTATAATCTACCTGTAAGTGGAAGAATTCATAAATATTAACAGACTATTTGGGTTGTGGGGTGGGGGGATGGGCTTTTCAATCCTGCCTCCTCCTCTTAATCTTTAATCCTGTCTCCTCTTCCCGTCTCCATCTTATTCTACTCTGAATCCTTAGAGCCCAGAAGAATGATGTGGAATGCTGGAAACATTCAGTTCTTAAAGGAAGAAAAGGAGGAAGAGATGGAAGGAGAGAGACAGGAAGAAAAAGAGGGAAGGAGAAGCATGGCTGAGAAGTTTCAAGCAATACGTACTTTTCAACAAGCCACAGAACTGGGATCAGGCATAAGGAGGAATAAGTATATTTGAACAAGAGTGGTGTGTATATAAACATATATTTCAGATTTCATTTCAAGGCCAAAAATAAGTAAGTTATATGTGTGACCTTGTTTTATAATTGTGTCTCTGGGAACCAACATTGTATAAATGATCAAAAATTGGTTATATTTTTTATAGTAATACAGGGAGCCTACCAGCCCTATCAGATATTAAAACATATTATACAACAAAAAAACCAGTTGTCATTGAGTTGCTTCCAACTCATGGCAACCTCATGGGTGTCAGAATAGAAGTGTGCTCTGTAGGGTTTTCAGTGGCTGATTTTTTGGAAGTAGATCACCAGACCTTTCCTCAGAGGTCCCTCTGGGTGGACTCAAACCACCAACCTTTGGTTAGCAGCCAAGCACGTTAACTATTTGTACTACCCAGAGATGCCAGAAAACATTGTAGTGCCCCTATAATTAAAACAGTGTAGTCCTGACACCTGAATAGACAGAAAAGAGAAATGGAACAGAAAAGACTCAAATATATATATAAATGAAGTATGTGATAAAGCTATCATCACCAGTCAGTAAGGAATGGTATCAGGACAAGTGATTAGCCATCTAGAAAAAATTCAGAGTTGGATTCACATCTTGCACTGTACACTAAGGTAAAATCCAAATAGATCAAAAGTCTTCAGTGTAAAAAAAATGAAACTGTAAAGGTATCATTGGAAAATGTGAGAGAATTCCTGTAGAACCTTGGGACAAAGAAGGAATTTCTAACTATGAGTCAAAATCCAGAAGCCATCAAAAAGATTGACAAATTCAACAACATGAAATTTTGAAATATCTGCATGGCAAAAATCCATAAGCAAGTTTAAACAGCAAATCAGTTTAAAATATTGGCAGTTTATATAACAAAGGGCTAATCTCCCTAATATATAAAAAGTACCTAAAAATTGATGAGGAAAAGACCAACAATCCCAATGGAAAAGCGAACAAAGGATATTGGTATACAATTCATAAGCAAGAAAATACCAAATGGCTCTTACACATAGAAAAATATGCTCAACTTCATGCACAAGAGAAATGCAAAATAAAAGCACAATGAGATACCATTCTTCCCTCATGCTACTGACAAAAATCCAAGGCTGTGGAGAAACAGGTACTTACATACGTTGGTGCTGGGAGCAAAAATTGGTACAGCCCCGAAGCAGAGCAATCTGGTAACATCTATCAAAATCACAAATGCATTCACTCTCCTAATCCATGGTTAATCTTAGCATAGTTAATGGTAGATCAACTAGATAATATAATGTATTTTCCTTTATGATGCAATGTGAAGTACCCGCTCTTACCCATGAAGTATTCTGGCAAAAGTGTGTAAATGGAATTCATAAGTCTGTAGCTATAATTTACAGGAAATACAAGGCCAGAGAAGCAAGCCAAATGTAAACAATTTAAACTCAGAAAGTGAGACACTCTGGAGGGGGATCTTAGTAGATAAGAGAGACTTGAGGAACTTAATTTAACAACCAGATGCAATGCCTGCTCCTAGATTGCAATGCCTGATTTGGACAAAGCTACTGTAAAAAATATCTTTGGATAATTGGGGAAATCTGAATGTAATCCAGACAGGTGAGATGAAATTTACTACAACTGAAAGGTGAAGGTTGTTGATCTCTCTCTCTCTCAGTATGTATATATACATATATATACATATACACATACTGAAATTGAAAGGTAGAGAGAGAGAGAGAAAAGATCCAGAAAAATATACGCTTTATCTCTGATGGTGGGACTATGGTGTTTTTATTTTACTTTTTGTTGTGATATTTTCTAATTTTCTGTAACGTACATGTATGCTTCTGTAATAACAAGTTCAGAATTTATCCTACAGATACATCGACACATATGCAAAGTGGCACAGTGATGTAAGTACTTATGCCATGTCAATGTCTAAACGTCCATCCATGCAAGGAAGTATGTACTAGGCAGCTTAAGAATAATGAGAAAGCTCGCCATGAACTGGAAAGGTCTTCAAGATCTAGAACAGTGTGTACCGAATGCTATCTTTTGTGTAAAAGCCAAAGGGATGAGAATATTTATTTGTGTTTGCTTGTATATGCATTAAAAAATTCTGGAAGAAACAAATAATAGTGGTTACAGGTGTGGGAAAGATGAACCAGACAAATGGCGGAGGAAGAAAAACTTTTGGCTGTATACTCTTTTGTGGGGGGAGGGAAATGGAAACAGTTAAATGTATTATCTTTTCCAAAAAATAAGTAATAAAACAGTTGGTTATATTTTTGGCAGTTTCTGCCCCTGCAAAGAGTATATAGCCATCCTTATTTTCAGTATAAAAGAGCCCAGAAGTAAGATGCTCAGCATGCTGGCGTACCGATTGATCTTCCTCTTCTGCTGTGATTTAATCACTGTGCTTTCTTCATCTCTCTTCTTCAACACCTGGAAGTTGTATTCTAACTTCTCTTGGTTTAGCTGATAAGTTGCCTTCATCTGCTGAAGCTGTTGCTCAAGAATCTAAAGATTAAAGAAATAATAATAATTGGCCCTGGTATAATTTATTGTGCCTGAGAGCTCTTGAAGTTTGTTCTGGAGTCCTGTCAGAGAAACCTTGGGACAAGTGCCTCAACCTGGATTCTTAGGAAATTTATCATTAGAGCCAAGTTAAAGGCCAACCAGATAAAATACAAGTCATTCAGCTGCAAAGTAAAGCCTATGAACCTAAAGCTTACGAAAGATTATAGTTAGAACTTTGAAGTCCTACTAACTCTGGGACTTTGCACCAGATCCTTTAGAGATAGGAGCAAACCCACTAGAAGCACCATAAAAATTAATATTGCCACAAAAACTTGAAATTTTCCCACTCTGGCATTACACAATGGCAGTGTGTTTAGAAAAAACCACGTTCATTTTAGAGAAGGACAGACTCAGTTATCCTTACTTTTTGGATGTCAATTGGCTGCATTCATTCATTCAGCAAGTATTTATTGAGTGCCTAATATATGTCCTGGTGGTGTAGTGGTTAAGAGCTTGGCTGCTAACCAAAACCTCAGCAGCTGGAATCCACCAGCTGCTCTTAGGAAGCCCTATGGGGCAGTTCTACTCTGCCCAATAGGGGTTTTATGAGTTGGAATTGACGGCAATGGGTTTGGTTTTTGTTTTTTTTTTTTGTTTTTTTTTTTGAATATATGTCAGAAGGAGCCCTGGTGGCACAGTGGTTAAGTGCTGGGCTGCTAACCAAAAGATCAGTGGTTCAAACCCACCAGCTGCTCCAAGGGAGAAAGATGTGGCAGTCTGCTTCTGTAAAGATTACAGCCTTGGAAATTTTATGTGGCATTTCTACCCTGTCCTATACGGTCATTATGAGTTGGAGTCGGAATCAACTCAACGGCACACAACAACAATAACCCCTCCCTAGGAGTCCCTGGGTAGTGCAAACAGTGAATGAGCTTGGCTGCTAGCCAAAAGGCTGGAGGTTTGAGTTTACCCAGAAGCACCTCAGAAGAAAGGCCTGGAGATCTACTTCGGAAAAATTAGCATTGAAAACCCTATGGAGCACAGTTCTACTCTGACACACGTGGGGTTGCCATGAGTCAGAATCGACTCCTTGGCAACTGGTTTGCATGTGAGGCACTGTTCCAGGTGCTAGGAATACAATGGTGGAACGGCACAGTCCGTGCCCTGTCTAGGAGGAAAGAGACAGATCAACAAGCACCAGGGCAATAAGACCGGGAACACACAGGCTGTTACGGGACCAGTGAGAGGAGCACTTTTCTTGGCCTTGAGGGACCAGGGAAGGCATCCCTGAAAAGATGGCATTAGCATGTCTGAGACCTGGAGAAGGAGTAGAGTTACTCAGGTGGACATCTGAGGAGAGAGCTCTAGATAGAAGACACAGAGGGAGAAGAGACTGAGGCGCTCTGGGGAACGGTCAGAGATGAGGCTGACAGAGTAGCAAGGCCTTACCAAGCTAAGGCTTTAAAGCATTACCCTGAAGGCAACGGAGAGCCACTAAAGATGGTAATCAGGAGAGTGAAATAATCAGTCCAGCACCTGTAGAAAAATCACTCTGATAGCGGTGGGGAAACAAGATTAGAGAAAGGAAAGACTGGAGGCAGGACAAACACAGACTGATTGGCTTCCTCCTGCCTGTCCTGAGTGGAAATGCAGGAACGGAGAATACATTCCAGTGTTATGGGACCGCGATAAAACAGAGGCTCTGTCAAGTTTCCTTTCATCTCCCTCCACTAGGCTGCAGACCTTTGCCAAGGAATTAACAGAGAAAGTGATTTCAAGCAGCTACCACAACTTCCCTTTGGGTCATCGTCAAAGAGAGTAAGTGGCTAGGAGGTGAGCCAGGGGCAAATAAAGGCACTGACACATCATTGGGGCCTGTCATTCCCATGCTCGGTGTGGAATCCAGTGGTCCCCACATTGTACTACTAAGAGGATTAGGTAAGTGGATCAGAAAGAGACTCAACAGCACCTAACAACAACACTATACTTAACTATCGCAGAAATTCTCTACATGGGACAAGTATTTGAACATCACCTTCAGAACAAAAGCCTACAATACCCATTCTGTAAGATGGTAAATGAAGAACCATATTGTCACTAAGATGATAACTAATTGTGCCTCTCAATTTCTCTGCTTTAGTCAAATTTTTATTCTGGCTAAAATATTTTCACAAGTTATATACTTTTCTTTGTAAAAATTTTTTCTGATTGTGAAAGTAATATGTACTCATTGTAGACAATTTAGAAAGTACAGCAAAGGAAAAACTAGCCATAATCCCACCACCCAAAGACAACTTCTCTTAACATATGGGCATGTTTCCCTCCAGTGTTCTTTACATAGCTGAGATCAAACTATAGCTACAATTTTATATACTACTTTTCTCAGTTAATACTAGAACATGAGAATTTTTCATGCTAGTAAACTTTTTTAGTAAACATGTTAGTAAAGTTTTTATTAACATTTTAATTAGCTGCCTAATATTTTATCATGTATTATATTTATCATACATTGACTATTTATATTTATCATATATCATAATATTTCATCATTTCCCTACAGCTGTATATTCATGTTGCTTTGATAATTTTCAATATTATAAAATAGCTCTGGGATAATTGTATATAAAACCTTTTGGGCATTTTGTATTATTTCCTTAAGGCCGAGTCTCAGAAGTAAAATTACTAGATCAAAGACTCTAAATAAATTTCTTCCCAAAGAGCACGTTATGGTGTGCACTCCCATTGCCATGTGTGAGCATGCCCACACCCTGCAGCACTGAGCATTGTGCAAGCAGGCCACGAAGCTCTAAGTGCACCCTTGGGTTGGGCACTTGGGGCGGGGCAGGGAGCTGTACCTTACTCTTCCTTTCTCAGCATGATTAAAATTTATTTCGAAATTTCTCACTTGAGCAATATCCCAAGGTGCCTATGGAAGATGCTGACAGTGCGGCCTCATTTTAGTGCAATTACCTTGGGTGGTCCCAAGCCAAGTCACTCGGGGCCCTGTCCCCTCCTAGAGATGGCCCTGAGTGTCCACTCTCAGCAGTTCTGCTGCACAGTTGCAATGATTTATGACCCTTCAAATGAAACCAGGCCTGCCGCTTCAAATGTGAGCAGCCCTGGTCATGACTGAGTGGGCAGGAATCAGAAGACTAACCAAACATGCACAGGCTGAACATAAAGAAGGCCGATAGTCTGTGAGGTGGCTCGGCACCAAAGTCCAGTAGAAAAGCTCCACGTTGCGCAGTGACGGTCTAAGAGTGTGAACACTCACAGGGAAGGAGGGCCTCCAGAGCTGCTCTGGATTGGAATGACAATGAGGGACTGTGCCCATCTTCCCTGGACTGAGAGACTCAGAGCACCAGCACGTCTGCTCTGATGATCTCCACAGCACCTTCCTTCTTTTCATATCACTAAGACATTTCTCAAAGTGAATTGGCCATAGAACAGTTGTTATATTTATAGCACAGAGAGAGCACATGGGTTATAAATGCATGCCAAAGCAGGTGAAGGCGCATGTGAATTTCCTTCTTAAAAGCAGAGTATTGCATAATAATCATGATGTTAATGGTTATGCATTTTTTTCCTACATAATATATTTTAAAATACATTTTGAAAGGAAAAAAGAATACTGGCATCACTTCTTTTGTTAGTTTTGTAAAACCACCATTAGTATCTCATCTAGCTAAACACAGTTTGAAAAGCTCTGGCCTAAGGTAATTGGGTCCTGTCTTTTTCTTTGTGACCTGAAAGAACTTAAATCTGTACTGATTTTATAAGCATAAAAAAAGTTGTTACCTGATTGTTCTTATTTACATTTCTTTGCTTGCGAGTGCAGTTCAATGTTTACTAGCCATTTTTATTTCCTATCCTGGAAAATGTTTGCTCCTGTTCTTTGCTAGAGCTGGTTCTTAGGAGTCCAATGCCTGGGGGCTGGCAACGCGGCAGGCATCTTGGCTTCCTGTCCCTATCAAGTAACAGACTCAACTATTCCTCCACCACACTTCTGTCCCAAGACAGTAAAGCTACTTCTCTAACCACATGCTGGCTTCATGTTTATGATGCCTGTCATAGATTGAATTGTGTCCCCCAAAAATATCTGTCAACTTGGCTGGGTCATGATTTCCCAGTATTGTATGACTGTGTACCATTTTGTAATCTGATGTGATTTCCTTATGTGTTGTAAACGCTATCACTATGATGTAATAAGATGAGTTAGCAGCAGTTATACTGATGAGGTCTACAAGATTAGATAGCATCTTAAGCCAATCTCTTTTGAGATATAAAAGAGAGAAGCGAGCAGAGACACATAGGAACCTCGTACCACCAAGAAAGCAGTGCCTGGAGCAGAGCACATCCTTTGGACCTGAGGTTCCTGCGCAGAGAAGCTCCCAGACTGAGGGAAGATTGATGACTCAGACCTTCCTCCAGAGCCAATGGAGAAAGTGTTCCCCTGGAGCTGATGCCCTGAATTTGGGTTTGTAGCCTACTGGACTGTGAGAGAATAAACTTCTCTTTGTTAAAACCATCCACTTGTGGTATTTCCGTTACAGCAGCACCAGATGACTAAGATAATGCCACTTCAGAGTTCCTGCCAGTGCCGTTGAACTTATAGAACTAAAAATAGTCTTGCAGCTCTCTGAGTTGAGTCTACAGCAGGCAATTACATAATTTACACCAAAAACCCATTGCCATCAAGTCAATTCCAACTCATAGAGACCATATAGGCCAGAGTAGAACTGCCCCATAGAGTTTCCAAGGAGTGCCTGGTGGACTTGAACTGCCGACCTTTTGGTTAGCAGCTGTAGCTCTTAACCACTACGCCACCAGGGTTTCCATAATTTACACTACTCATCATTTATTTTCAACACCTTATACTTATGAAGAAGTCCCGGGGCTGCTCAAATGCTTAAGCACTTGACTACTAACCTCAGAAGAAAGTCCTGGTGACCTGCTTCCTAAAGGTCACAGCCTTGAAAACTCTATGGAGAAGTTCTACT